AGGTGAAGTCACCCGGTATCGACGTCTCCTTTGACCTGCCCCACCTATGACAGCACCTTCAGCACAGGGGATCTGCAGGCGTTGGGATTTGTTTTGGAGGTGGGGGGCAAGGGGAAAGAGGTGATTAGCCGCAAGCCCTTGGGTATTTATCCTGGCACATGGCCCTCCAATTTACAGCCCACTACCTCTGCTAAAGCTCTAGTTAGCCAAAACGTGGGTATGAATAAATTGTGCCACCCAGTGGCTGTCTCCTGTAACAACAACCCTAAAAACCTACGACTTCAGGGCGCGGGTTATTCACAAGGTCTGCAAGGTGGGGAAGGTAGTTATTTCACGGTCTCCGGGGCTGGGGTTCAAGCATAAATAACACCTGTGCTCAAAAAATTGAATGTGGTAGATAATCTCAAAAGAGTTCGCAACAGGGCTGACTTTCAAGAAGCTAGTTTCAAGAAGTATATCTTACTCATACTTTTCACTTGTAAACCCAGAAAGCAAAGATCTCCCGTGGAGCAGCGGGTAGAGCTAGAGGTTTTGGTCCACGGGTATCTACAGGTCACAGCCACCGTCTCTGATACGCAGGGCGATCTTCAGAGCGTGTGAGGATTCCAAGGACAAGTGTGCTGCCAGAGCCTGGATGTATCTGGAACGCTTCTAAAGGCCTAGTGCTCTGGCTTTGCGCAGGCAGAGCCACGCCCTGCTCAGAGAGCTGGAACACCTGCTGGATTCTTTCCCTTTCAGAGTCCAACATGGGGCCTAGCTCAAGAAGGTGCCAACACAGGTTTTCAGGAAAATGAAATAAAAACACCAGCTTATCAAACAACAACTGTAGCTTGTGTTTTCATCCACAGAAAACTTTTATTTCTTTTTTTAAAAGATCTTATTTATCTGAGAGAGAAAGAGAGAATGAGCAGGGGGAGGCATAGAGGGAGAGGGAGAAGCTGACTCCCCGCTGAGCAGGGAGCCCAACGCAGGGCTCGATACCAGGACCCGGGATCATGACCTGAGTCAAAAGCAGCTGCCTAACTGACTGAGCCACCCAGGCATCCCAACAGAAAACTTTAAAACTGTAAATCCCAGACTGGCAAAGTGTTGACAAAAGTTCAAGTTGGGTGATGGGCATACTATACAGCTCATTATACCATCATCTCTAATGTACACTTTACATTTTCCAGAGTAAGTTTTTAAAATATACATGACTTTCCATAATTCTCATTAAAATAGGGCTCTTCCAAGCATGGATGAATATAAACACAGAGTTAATACTAAGTGGGGATAAGTGGGGGAGATGGGAATGGGTGCTCTGCTTTGGGTGTTTCTCTGTACATCTCTGAGATGCTCACTTTGCTGTAACAAGCCTATACTACAAGTCTTTTCATAAGAAAGTGCTAATCAATCACTTAGACTGAAAAAGAGGGCTCTTCACAAGCAAAACACTGTCTAGGAGAAAACTGTCCCCTTGTCATTAGAACGCAGCCAAATAAATATTTGCTGAGGACCCATCGTGAGCTTGGTGTGTCTCATGTGAAAGCATGTTCCTAGATTATATAGAATAAGACTTGGGGCGCGTGGGTGGCTTGGTCGTTTGGGCATCTGACTCATGATTCCGGCTCAGGTCATGATCTTGGGGTGGTAGGATAGAGCCCCATATCAGGCTCTGTGCTGACCACGAAGCCTGCTTAGGATTCTCTCTCCCTCTGCCCCACCCCCACCCCAGCTCACTCTCTACACCCCACCCCACCCCTCACCAAAAAGAATAAGACTATTGTCCTCTATGCTCAATGATCCTTTACCTAGTACCAGGATTACAGTGGCAAATAAAATGTCATCCCTGCCTCTATGCATGGGAAGGGACATCTGCTGAAGACACACCTCACCCTCCTGTTGATCTGAGGAACGTCCCGATCAAGGGACATTTCAGGATATCTCATCGCATCCTTAGATGAGGTTCAGGCTGTCATAATAGCAGGTTCACTGCTGAAAGGGGCAATTTCCCCTACTCACAAAGCTTTACTGTAAATGACAGCTACAGGGTCTTCTCAAGAATAATCCTGATGAGCACAATTAAATACACACACACACATATATATAGAAGAAAATTTTTTTCTTTTTTTTTTTTTTTTTTTTTTGGTCCCTTTTTTAACCTTCAGCAGGCACATCTTTCAGTCCTGAAGAGGACAAGAAGGGACATAAAAAGGCAGGTGGCTATTGCAAGAAGAGGAAACTCAACAAAGAATATAATAGCCACAGTGGGGAAAGAGGGCTGTGGAAGCAAAGGTTGCTGGTCCCTTGACAGCATATCCCTGAGTCCCCGAGGACACCCATCCCTGAATGGGAAGGATCCTCCTGTGCTTGCTACCGCAAGGTTCCCACCACTCAGACAACATCAGTTATGGGGAGAGGAGGAAAGGGCAAAAAGACAAACTCTGAAGTCTGAACTCTGATGAACTTTCTCTTACATTTGTTTCCCTTCGACTCCTTGGAACGTTTTGATAGATTAACTCGAATTTCAGGCCCAGGAAGGACAGAGTGGAATAAAACTCAGTCTGGAAGGGAAGGCTGATGATAGGGAAGAGATAAGACCATGTGCTAGTGTACAAAAATACCCTAAGAATTCCACATGTATCAGCTCACAAGGTTAGAACAATTATCTCCAATTTACAGATGAGGAAACTGAGGCACAGAGAAGCTAGGAAGTGATGAAGCGGAAACATAAACCCAGGTGGTCTGGCTCCAGGGTCCGTGCCCTGAATCACCAGGTCTTGCTGGCTGGCTTTCTGTGCAAAGCACGGCACCAGGGCTGTCAACACAACCTTGACGAATTCTCTCAACAACCAGAGGTAAGAGTTGTTACCCCCGTTTTTTACAGATGGGGAAGCTGAGTCTCAGGAGAATTAAGGACCTTGCCTAAGAGCTGGTAGAAGATAATTACTTACATTTATAGTAAGCAAACTGCAAGTAATGATACATGGTGGCCACAAATTTCTCCACTGGGTAGCCTCCTATAACGGGCGTGAGGTTCTTTTCACACTGTAGTTTGCATTCCAGGACCTCCACATAATGATCTGAAAGAAGCCACACAAATTCTCAGAGCAGCGCATTCATCAGCCTCTCAGTACTCCCTCTGCCCCACTCGGTGATCCAAGTAAAAGGTAAAGATGATACGGGGAAAATACTTGCAACACTTATGATGAAAGGGCTAAAATCCTCAATACATAAACTTCCCTAAAACGGTAAGAAAAAAGACAAACACCCAATATAAAATGGCCAAAGGATGTTCATGGAAAAGAAATCATAAAAATGGCAAAGACAGGGCGCCTGGGTGGCTCAGTGGGTTAAGCCGCTGCCTTCGGCTCAGGTCATGATCTCAGGGTCCTGGGATCGAGTCCCGCATCGGGCTCTCTGCTCAACAGGGAGCCTGCTTCCCTTCCTCTCTCTCTGCCTGCCTCTCTGCCTACTTGTGATCTCTGTCTGTCAAATAAATAAATAAAATCTTAAAAAAAAAAAAAAAAAAATGGCAAAGACACATTGTGAAAAGATAAACCTCATTTGTCATGAAGAAACACAATCCCACCTAAAATATTTTAAATTGCTAAATTTGCAAACAAAAACAAAAATCCTGTTTTGTTGAAGTAGGGTTGACACACACATTACGTTAGTTTCAGGTATACAACATAGTGATTCAACAAGTCTATACGTTTTGTTGTGCTCCCCATAAGTGTAGCTACTGCCTGTCATTTAAATGGGCAAAAATTTAAAAATTTGGTAACACCCAGTGTTAGGGAGAATGGTGAAATTTACACTCTCCTATTCTGTCATTAGAAGCAAAATATGAACAAATTTTTTGGAGAGCCATTTGGCAAAATGCATCAAAGGTTAAAATGCACATATCCGTTGGCCCAGCAGTCTACTTCTTTTTTTTTTTAATTTCTTTTCAGCATAACAGAATTCATTGTTGATGCACCACACCCAGTGCTCCATGTAATACATGCCCTCCATAATACCCACCACCTGGCTCCCCCAACCTCCCACCCCCCCGCCCTTCAAAACCCTCAGATTGTTTTTCAGAGTCCATAGTCTCTCATGGTTCATCTCCCCTTCCAATTTCCCTCAACTCCCTTCTCCTCATTATCTCCCCATGTCCTCCATGTTATTTGTTATGTTCCACAAATAAGTAAACCATATGATAACTGACTCTCTCTGCTTGACTTATGTCACTCAGCATAATCTCTTCCAGTCCCTTCTATGTTGATACAAAAGTTGGGTATTCATCCTTTCCCAGCAGTCTACTTCTAGGAAAGTTTCTTTAGACACAAGCACATATAAGCACTATTGCAACAACAAGCAGACCTGGAAATAACCTGACTGCCAATCAACAGGTGATTAATCAATTATGGTACATACAAATAGTAGGAATCTAAACAGCCATTAAAAGAGAATAGGTAGACCTAAATATAATAATAGAGAAAGACATCAAAGACTACATTTCCCAACCTCCCTTGCAGCTGGGTTGGCGCCCTATGATTAGTTGTGCCAATGAAATGTGGACGCAACAACTAATGAAAGCTACTTCCACTGCTTTCAGGACTGGTCACTAAAATCCTCCCACAGGAACCTCGGCCCCTCCCTTTCCTCCCTTCGTGCCCCTACCGGCAAAAGATCCAGGATGATGGTACACATTTTGTTGGCCGGACTGTAGACGATAGGTACTCTCACACATTTTTGCTAGGAAACAAAATGGTAACTTAAAATACTAAATAATTTACAAAGACATTTTCTCTTTGAACTACCAATCCGACTTATGTTGACTCTGAAAACACACCTCCACACTTAGCCAAAAAAAAAAAAAGGCCTGAAGTTCTCCACTGAAGTATTACATGTAATATTAAAACACTGGCACAGGTTGCTGCGCCGCCACCGCCCGAACCATGGTCCGCGCTCCACTCGGGCTCTCTTAGCAGCAGCAGCCGCCGCCGCCGCCGCCGCCCTGTGATCGGGGCTTCACTTCCTCCTTTTCTTCTTGCTGAGCCACTTTCCTCCTAGAGCTATGACCGTCGTCTCCGTCCCCCAGCGGGAGCCACTTGTCCTGGGCGGCCGCCTTGCATCTCTGGGCTTCTCCGCCCGTGGTTACTTCGGGGCCCTCCCGATGGTGACCACGGCCCCGCCGCCTTTACCCCGGATCCCGGACCCCCGGGCACTGCCCCCCACCCTTTTCCTCCCTCACTTCCTCGGGGGAGACGGTCCCTGTCTGACCTCACAGCCTCGCGCCCCTGCACCTCCGTCCAATTGTAGTCTAGCTACGGCGGGAGGCACCCCTCGGGCAGCGCCAGAGAAGCGGCGAAAGAAGAGGGTGCGGGCCAGCCCGGCGGGGCAGCTGCCCAGCCGCTTCCATCAGTACCAGCAGCACCGGCCGAGCCTCGAGGGCGGGCGGAGCCCCGCGACGGGCCCGAGCGGAGCGCAGGAAGTCCCGGACCAGGCGGCCAGTTTGGCCCCAGGTCCTGCGGCCGCAACCCAAACTGATGAAGCGAGCCCTTTCCCCGGCCAGCTGCTGCCCGCGGCGCCCGGCCAGCCCTTGTTCAGAAGAGAGGTTTTAAAATCAAAGATGGGAAAATCGGAGAAAATTGCCATTCCCCACGGCCAGCTTGTTCATGGTATACACTTGTGTGAACAACCAAAGATAAACAGACAGAAAAGCAAATATAACTTACCACTAACCAAGATCACCTCTGCAAAAAGAAATGAAAATAACTTTTGGCAGGATTCTGTTTCATCTGATTTACTCCAGAAGCAAGAAAAAAGGCCTTTTAAAAATACTGAGAACATTAAAAATATGCATTTGAAGAAATCAGCATTTCTAACTGAAGTGAACCAAAAGGAAAATTATGCTGGGGCAAAGTTTAGTGATCCACCTTCTCCTAGTGTTCTTCCAAAGCCTCCTAGTCACTGGATGGGAAGCACTATTGAAAATTCCAACCAAAATAGGGAGTTGATGGCAGTACACTTAAAAACGCTCCTAAAAGTTCAAACTTAGATCTCAGATTGCAGTATGTCTGTAAAACAGTTTTTTCAAAATCCCAGGACTCTTGAAAAGAAAATTGGTACAGAAATGGAAATTTGCCTTGTAACATACAAGTGCAAAGATGAGTTTAAAAAATTACAAACAACTTGTATTATATTTTATATTTTGTAAATACTGTATACCATGTATTATGTGTATATTGTTCATATTTGAGAGGTACATTATAGTTTTGTTATGAAAGTATGTATTTTGCCCTACCAGTTGGTAGGTGTTTTGTATATATACAACGGAGAAATTTTAAGTGTGCTAAGGCACATGGAAGACCAATTTATTTGCACAAGGTAATGAGATTTTTTTTTTAAAGAAACAGCTATCTAATCTCAAGGTGAAGATCTAAATGTGAACAGTTTACTAATGCACTACTGAAGTTTAAATCCGTGGAACAATCATTGTAAACATGGGGTTTGTCTGTCTTTCTCTAAATTGATTTCTGCCTTCTAATCTGTAATTACTGGAAAACTCCTGTTCCCATTTTTACCAAACTTAATTTCTGGTTTTTGGTTTATCCATTCAAATTTAAAATACCTCTAATTTAAATGCCAACAAAATTAGTTGTGATCAAATTTTTAAATATAATAATAATTTGGCCTCCCCTTTAAAAAAAAAAAAAAAAGACTGGCACAAACCAAATATCCATCAGAGAGTTGAATAAACTGTGGTGCCTCATTCCCCCCACCCCTCAGTGGAGTAGTCAGCAACAGCAAAAAAGAATGACTCTATGTGCTAGCCAGGATATATTGCTAAGTGGAAAAAACAAAGAACAGAACAGTGTATAAAGTACGGTACCTATTTGGTGTGAGAAAAGCAAACAAAAAATACAGAGAAATAGATGTACGTATATACAACCTTTATAGAGAAAAAAGAAATCAGGCAAGAATCCTCAATATCTGCTCATTTGCTATGTGTATGGTCATAGGGGAGGGGATGGAGACAATTTGATGAACAGCAAATTGTCCTCATCATGAAGTATTTTTTTCTCAAATTATTTATTAGTATCAAAAGGAAAAATAGTATTGCTGAAAAGCTGGGAACTGGAAATTACCTGAACCAAATGCTTAAAAATCAACATCACCAGTAAGGGGCAAACAGGTACCATGCACATCTGAATGGGATACCCCGAGAAGCATACTTCTGTAATGTTCCAGCCCAATGTGTACAACCTGAATGTAATAGGAACCCATATTGAGGAATATCCTATAAAGTGACTGGCCCATGTTCTTATATATTTTTTAAAGATTTGACTTATTTATTTGACAGAGAGAGCACAAACAAGGGGAGCGGCAGTAGAGTAAGAGGGAGAAGCAGACTCACTGCAGAGTAGGGAGTCCAGTGTGGGGCTCAATCCCAGAACCCCGGGAGCAGGACCTGAGCTGAGGGCAGATGCTTAACCGACTGAGCCACCCAGCCACCCCTAGCCTATATTCTTAAAAAAATATGAATGGCATAAAAAAAAAATTAATGGCATAAGAAGAAAGGCCAAGGAACTGTTCCAGATTAAAGAATACTAAAGAAAAATGACAAATAAATAGGAAACATGATATTGGACTGGATTGTACCAGGAAAGAAAAAGTTGCTAGAGGGCATTTATGGAATAAGGGGCAAAACTGCAATATAAACTATGGATCGTATAAAAGTATTGTCTCAATATTAAGTTGCCTGAATTTAATAACTGCATTGTGGATTTATAAAGAATATTGTTATTCTTGGGAAATTTACTGAAGTATTATGGGGTAAAGGGTCATGATGTATGCAACATACTCTCAAGTGGTTCTGTAATAAAAATAATTACATACACATATCTAGAGAGAATGATGAAGTAAATGTGGCACAATCAGTGTGAAAAATTGGTGAATCTGGATAAATAGTTTATGAGAATTCTTTGTACTACTCTTGCTACTTCTTTTGGATTGGTTTGGATTACTTAAAAATAAAAAATCAAAATAAAACTGAAAATAAAAAAATTATTTTAAAATAAAATATAAAAATTTTAAACAAAAAAAATTCTCAATTATCCATCTATCTACATATAAAGATATAGAGATATATCTTCGGTAGATCAAAGATAAACTGATCTTTGCTTATTTTTGTAGGAAAAAAAAACCTTATAGAGGTATAAGCTGGAAGGTAATAAAAATGGTTCCTTTTGAGGTGAGTGGAATGGGTAGAAGAGATGTGGATAGAAGCAAGACTTCCTAATAACTGCCTGTAACTCCTTCCTCCCCTTCAGCCTAGGAGATAATAACTCCACTACTAGTAGCCCGAGGGTACATTTTCCCCCTTTGGGGTTCACCTTCACCCATATTTCTATGAACAAATCCATATTGAGGTATCCTTGTGTATGTCCGCCATCTATCTCCAGTCAGGACCCTGACTATATAGAAGGAGACTTATTTTTTACAATGTATCCTTCTGTGTCTTTCACAGTTTATGCTATGTGCATATATGTTACCTATTCGAAAAATATAATAAGGTCCCAGATTAAGTATAATGTAGGTGAGGTGAGACGATTTCACTGGGGAAGACTCTAGTCAAGACTGCCTGGGTTCAAATCCCAGCCCTTCCCCAGAGAACAATAAGCACAGAACTTAACCTCTCTAGGCCTCAGCTTTCCCAGCTATAAAATGGGGAGAATGCTAGTACCTTTCTCATAGGGTTGCAAACTCAAAATAATACCCACATAGAGTATAGAACAGGGCCTGGCATCTAGTTAGAACATAATGTCACTTTTTCTAGCAACTGTCTATAGTCAAAACATGGTAACTCCAAGGAAGCACTCTTTTCGTACCCCTCCTTTAGTCTGAGTGTGGGGAGTACTTCCTGATATTATAGGCATGAAGGGATGTGGGAAGGAACACGAGAATTGAGCACCAACTAGGAAGCTGTCTTGTGCCCCCACCTCCACAAAAAAAGAAAATCAACCCTGAGCCTGATCAAGCCTCACCATCCAGCTACCAAGTTATAAGAAATACAGGGAATAGAGGACCAAAAGGGTACAGTCAGCAAAATCCAGACTATGGGAATCTCTCGGGGGCCAATGATCTCGTTTTTTCAATAGCCAAAGGGAGAAAATAGATGTAGAGGAAAAACCTACTGATGATTTAAAAGCAACCAATTTGCTACAGTATTTTTGAGGCTGGAGGATATTACGCTAAGTGAAATAAGCCAGTCACAAAAGGGCAAATGCTATAGGATTCTACTTCTCCAGGGTACCCTGAGTAGTCCAATTCACAGAGACAGAAAGCGGAGTGGTGGCTGTCAGGGAAGAAAGGGAGCTGCTGTTGAATGGGTACGGGACATCCATTTGGGAAGATGAAATGATGGGTGGCTAAGATGGACAGCGGTGGTAGGGGCACGTCAGCGCACATGTATTATACGCCACTGGAATGCACCCTTAAAGGTGGCTAAACTAGTAAAGTTTTATACAGTGTGAGTCATGAATTGCTCTCAGACCCATTTTTATTTTTCCAAAAGCCTGTAGGGGATCTGTAACTGGGCAGGGCTGATCTGTGGGACCCCCTTTCTAAGCCTGTGCTTGACTGAACACTGTACTTAGGGATTTTTTCAGAAACCCCTGCTAAATCAAAGGCTGGACATGTGGGTTACATATTACCTCCCCAGCCACCATTCATACTGAAGCTCAACAGCTCCTCAGAGGGACGCCTGGGTGGCTCAGTCAGTTAAGGGTCTGCCTTCAGCTCGGGTCATGATCCCGGGGTGCCGGGATCAAGTCCCACATTGGGCTCCTTGCTCAGCAGGGAGTCTGCTTCTCCCTCTGCCTCTGTCTACCACTCAGCCTACTTGTGCTCTCTCTCTCTTTCAGATAAATAGATAAAATCTTTTTTTTAAAAAAAGGGGGAGGCCCTCAGAGTCCCTCAAGTCCCCAGGAAGGCACACAGATACCACAGGACAGCTGTCCCATTTACATGTGGAATATGGCCTGCCACCAACCTGCGATGGAAAGATAGAAATCCTTGAAGTCCTTGATCTCCCTGGAGCCCTCGCAGGCAGCGAGACACTCGTAAAAGGCTTTGAAGAAATCGGGAAGGGCCAGCTCCATGTCTGTGACAGACGTCCTCCAGTTCTCGCCATTGTAGGCCCGCACGGCCCGGATGAACAGGCTCTGGAAAGCAAGGAGAGGGGGTGAAACTCCCAGACATGAAGGAGCAGAGTTGTCCAACCGAGAAGACTCAGACCATCGTGGAGGTCCACTCTCATTAGTCCCCAAAAAACCACGCCAACCCTTAATTGAATAGGAAGCCGCCAGGAACTGACTTATATCTAGCTTTTCTATCCTATGTGCAATGGTACTCTTCTTACTTGATTCAAAAAGTAGGAGGTGTTTGTTAATAAAATCAAATTCAAGTCAAGAAAAAAAGAAAAACTAGTGACAGAAATCAGGGCACTGGCCGCCAAAGGGCAGGGGTTGGGACAAAGGTGTGACAGGAAAGGGGCCTGAGGGAACATTTTAGGGGAGATGAAAATATTCCGTGATGTGACTGTGATGGTAGTTACACACTCGCATACCTTTACCAAAATTCATTGAATTATACACTTAAAATTAGTCAATAAATTTCAAATAAGTTCTACGTCAGTAAAGCTGGTTTTTACAATTGAAACACAGAAGAGATATATGCTTGACAGCGGGTGGCAGACACTCTTCTCCCAACAGTTAAGTATAAACTAGGAATGCCAAGCCTTAGTGCTAGTTCCTAGGGAGGGCGGGCATGTGCCAGATGGTGGAACGTCAAGACACTTCTGCTAATTGCTGACTGGACCAGATAAAAGAGGAATAACTGGGCTGAGGAAGCCTCTGAGTCTCACAAGAAAAGAGACCTCGGGTACATGCACGACCCTGCTCACCTGGAGGGTCCTGCGGAAATAAGCACGGCATCCTCCACTTGGAGTTCTTGTTCAGCTGCTCCAGGATGGGGGTGTCTAAGGACCACCCCGCAGACCTGAACCCCAAGCTTCAGGTGTCAGGTAGAGAAGCTGATCTCCCTGAACCTCCTGAGCATGCAGCATCCCCCGGAAATAAGGCAGGCAGAGAACCGAACTGCATGCCCAGAGGCCGGGAAAAC